CATACTTAGCATTATGGTCAATTTTGTAGAAAATAAAGGATCATTACCTATAAAAAAAAGCATTACTTACTTTTAAAAATTAAAGAGTATTACTGTTTAAATTATTTCAAGTATAAATAATTTCCATTACACTTTATTTTTGCATTAATCTTATCAAATCGTATCATATGTATGTTTATATAATTTTATAAATGTCAAATCTTAATTACTAATGATGCATGTAAAATAATTTATTTTACACTCATATCAAATATTTGCACTTATCTTTTGACTATATTATAAATAAAAAATGATGCACAACCTTGAATATATAAATATTATGTGAACAAATTAAAAATACAAATAAGAGAATACACATCATATATTAAATTAGATGTTACCCAATAATACTCTACAATGCGTAAAACATCGTGGGTTACTTAAAAAATTATGCTGGATTTGGTGGTAAGCCCATTGACCAAGCATCTAACAATTTTTTATCATGAGGACCAGCACCTAAACTAAGCATAAGTCCAGAAAGGTCTCCACTATGACCACGTCCTCGCATGGCGTGGACTACTTTTGCAATGCTACAATTATAATAAAAACAATTTTAATTTGATATTATAAAAGAAAAAACAATGTTTAAATATTTATATAATATATGCATAATTATACTTTGCCCATTCTTCTTGCAATGCAGCAAAATGTGCTTTGAGAGTAGAATTTCCAAGTTTTTCATTATCAAGAGACTTTTCAATCTTAATTAATAATGTTGGTAACTTTAATGGTAATGTACCAGTCCATCTAACAACATGTGAGCTTGCATTTTCAACTTTGTGTTCATCAGCTACAATATCTAACCTACATACACTTGCACAAGGTAGGGGTACAGCTACTGAAGTGTCAACACCTAAAATTAATATCATAGTTTATAGATCATTTAACATAATACTCATAGTTAAATATTTCAAAACAATGTACAAGTACCAATAAAATTGCACTTATTAGGATCCATATATTCTGTTTCTTGAGTCTTGACTCTTCGACATGCACGTGGAATAAGAGAGCTTAATCCATATAAAGATTCCAATCTTTGAATATTTGGACCCCTTACTAAAATCTGAACACCTGTTAAACTAGAATATACTGAGACCTCTGAGAATTCAGGTGTTGTTTCTGGTTCATTTGAATTTAAAGTTAAGTTTACAGGTAATTTGGCATTTACTAAAGTGAATCCATCTTCAGTTTCTGGAAAACAGAAAACCTTGTTAAATGAAACAAATTCAAATCCATACATTTCTTGTAAATATAATATTTTTTATGATGCTAACCAATCTGATGCTCCGAATTGTAATTTAATTCATCATCTAATAAGCTCATGGGAAAAATTTCTATGAAATGTCTTGCTCCTGCACTAAGAATCCATACCAGCCACATGTGGATTCTGATTTAATTACAATTTGTTAATATCCTATCTTATAAGTATTAAATACTTGTAGCATAACTATAAAACAGACCTTATAAAAACATGCTTTTCATTAGTTATGTCACTAAAAGTTCTAGGTTGTTTGTTTGAATTATTATATGACCCTGGTCCATTATTAGTAGCAGATAAACGAACAATTCTTTGTGGACATTCTGCTTCTTCTGCATTGTATTTTTTTTCAGCAAAATCTTGTAATTCCCGAATTACTTCCTTTAAATTGTCAACTAAAAAGGGCCACATATTTAATAGGAACTGCTTATCTCTCATAAAAACAATGAAACTGCACCACTTGCGAAAACCCCTTGCCTATAAAAAATAAAAAATTTTTCATATTGAAGAATTACTTCATTAATTTTTTTCTAAATATTTAACATTGTAAATAATGACATGGTTTGAATAATTTGTTGTAATAGCTACCAAACATGCTTTTTCGTTGCATAATTCACCTGGGCATCTTTTAATGTAAATGTATGACTTAAAACATGCCCCCTGTATTCATCTCCAAAATAGCAAACACCTTCTTTACCAGGATGTACTTCACAGCTTAAGCTCCTTGAGAATTGAAATTGAAATATGGTTTTGAATGATTAAGTAATTTGTGCATTCCCTTTATTAAAGAATATAATAAAAGATATTTCATAATTATTATACCTAAAACATGCATGCTTTAGCAAACACCAAATATCTTGAGTTAATGATTGTTGAGCAGATAGAAACGATGTCCTAGTTTCATGTTCATTGCTCAAATACTTCACATTACCAATACTTTGGCATCCTTCACATTCATGTTGTCCATCTTCCATAACATTTTGACTGCGTCTTAGTATTTCTTTTGGTCCATAGAATTTTAATTTTTCTGTACTTTGATTATCATAATTACGATATGTTTGAGTTGTAAATATTACTTTAGGTCCATGTGATTCACAAAAAATACACAGAGCAATCACAGCATTCATTGTTAATATTACTTTTTTTTAAGAGTATTTCAAATTTATTATTGTCCATATATTTTCATATGTTTATCATTTTTGCAATGTATTTATAATACTTTTATAAAATTTAAATAAAATATCTAAACGTTATACATATCTAACAATTATAAAAGTTTAAACTATAATTTTAAACATAACCTCTGTTGTAATCTCGGCTACAAAATGAAGTTAATGTAAAAACACAATGTAAGCGAATTATTTATCTATTTTCAGTTCAAGTTTCAAAAACAATGAAATTAACTTTTTTCAGCTTTTTCACGTGATAAGACAGGAATGAAGACAAACCAAGAACACGTGACATTATGATAGCCTTTCATACATATCTATACACACATTTATATCATCCGTTCAGATTAAACGTGTTTACACATACATTTACAGTTTTGACGACCTCGTAGGTACAAGCAAAAACAAAAATATATTTACGTAGCGTAACGAGTTGCTCATTATAAGGTGCAACGCTTAACGCGATTAAAATGTCGGTCAGTTCTTTTTACATACCTACATGTTCATTCTTAATACAATTGTTATTACAAATGAAACATCTAATTACTTTTAGCAAATATTTATAATACATTTTCATATAACATAAATTACAAACAAATGAATTATATTACGAATTCATAATTTTGTATTACGATATATAAATTTTAACTTAATGCCTTCATATGCAGCTCTCATCCATATACCTACTGCATGTGCCCGAGGGTCGGGATATTTGAGTTTCTGAAACATAGTTTAAATAATATTCTCATCCCATTTTTCAGAAAATAAGTGTCTTTCATTTTTCAGTTAGTGTAAAATAATTAAATTTGTGAAAGAAATAAAGTATAGTACTTTGCACTTTTTTACATGAGAAGGTGCATACAAAATGCTTGTAGTAAAATTTTCAGCAGATTTCACAGCCATTCCAAATGCATCAATGAGATTCATATTTTTACTTAATGCATTGTCTAAATCTGCTTGCACTGTTACCAAAACAGTTAATAGAGCTTGATCACCTGTACACCATATTTTAAATTGTTCTATTGCTTTATTTGCAGTAATTAATACATGCAACCACATGTTGGCTGTTACTTCCTCGTCACTTTGATACTCTGAGAAAGCCTAAAACGTGTTACATGTTTAAAATGTAAACTTATAATATGATAAGTTATATCTTACTTTAGCAATATTATAAAAAAATAAAGAATATAGTCCTCCTTGCAAGCCATTCATTGTTCTTTGAATGATATGACTAATTTGTGTAAATGTTACATATAAACTTGTTCCCAATATTTCATTTTTCTGAAAAATATTATTTTATTTATAATTATGTTATGTGTTTCTTTCCCTCTTTTTTTAGATAGTTGATATCCAACCTGAATAGCATCTTGTATAGCTTTAGCCCCACATGCAAGACTTGTACCATAATTTCCATCTCCAAATTCCTGATCCATTTTATTCAGCTGTTTTGTACATGCTATTATTGCTTTACATGCCATGGATATAACTGATAAAAATATTTGACTATTTTCATGATTTATTATAGGTCCTTGCAAATTTATATTAGACCAATCCACATTCTATATTAAAATTCTGTTTACTTGTTAAATCTAATGTGTAAACCCAAACATGTATTAATAACATTCAATTACCTTACAATATTTTCCAGATGTAGTTAATTTTGTTTCATCATTCTAAAAATTAATTTTCATCTTAAATTCAAATATAATAGTTAAAAGCAAAAATTCGTAAACTTTAAATTACTTCTCCAATTCCTATTATTTTAGAAGTTAATATTTTTGGCCAAGCAGGCACAGGTGTTGGAAAATCCAAATATTTAATTAATACTGTATTAAATGAGAGGTTTAGTAAGCAAATATGAAAACCACGATTATTTGAATGTGTTATAAGTTGTTTCACATATATTCTTTTCACTTTTAAATTATTTATTTCTATTTGTTTCAAAAGTTCTAAGATACATGCATTTGTTTGTACTGCATTGCAACCTAAAAATGTAAGAAATTTTGAAAATAACAAATGGTTAAATAAGTAAACAAAATTTTTAAGTATTTGTTCAATTTATAATACCAAAGTGATTTATCATAATTGCAACTTCATGACCAGCACTAAATATTTTAGTTTTGCATATACTTGTTTTATTCTGTGATGTTATATCAAGTGTATCTGTGATTGGTTTAAGTATTTCTTTAGCTATATTTGAAAATATTTCTTCTTTGTATTCTTTATAAGGTACATTTTCAAATTCTGCAAAATATGATCTTTTTATATATTATAATACTATATTATATAA